CAGCTAGTGCTAATGAGAAGAAAACCCTTAAGGAATGCCATGTCCAGACCAAAAATCCTATTTATTYCAGCTAAACAGAACTATAGAAGAGGCCATCATTTTATATTAGTGTTACAAGTGTTAAATAAGAGAGTAATAGAGAAGTTAATTAAATGAACTTTTCAAAAAATCCACAGACTGCATGTATTATTTATCCTTTGCAAAATATAATTATAAGGGTTCTGTACAGTAACTTAATGGTTTTGGGAAACCATTTTTTTCCCACCTTACACAAAGAACGCAGGGTTGGAACTGCTGTACATTTAAGATTGTACAAAGTTTTTTAAGATTCTGAAATCCTCCTAGGGCAAAGACATCCCTTTTAATATCTTTGGCGGCTATGACAGTACTTAAAATTCATCACCTTTCATATTGCTAAAGTGATATCAGCCCTTCTACACAGCCCTTTAAATTATTCTCTTTTTAATGAGGTAAGTCAGAGGTCCCAAGGATCACTTTGGGCATAAACATGCACATGTATCTTAAAGTGCAAATAGCAAAATGTGCTTGGAGAGGACTGAGCTAAACTCTCAACCTAGTGAWATACTACCATGAGGGAGAGAGTTTAATTTAGCTTGTGCATCTCATGCTAAATAGCATCTGCTGGATCAAGCCAGCTGCTCCAAATGAAACAATTAGGAATAATTGGCAGAAGTGTGTCAGTGCCTTCCCTATTACAGATACAGAAAAATTCTGCATATGCACATGCCTGTTTCTCTCTAGCCTGTACAGAAGGGCTTCAATCTCTCTTCCCCCTGCACCACCTGTCATTCAGAGGGAACTGATAAAAACTGGTGCCTTGTTAATGTCCTGMCCCTGACTGCCTCCTAAAGTTGCAGGTTATTAATCACATTTTACCTGCCACTTTTTTGGAAACCTAAACATACAGATACASACGCTCACAGACTGCTCCAGCCTACAGCACATCCAGAAGCCATAGCAACAAGCAAAGAAAGCTCAACCTGCTTGAGCTGTAGCCTCCCATACCTTCTCCTGAGCACATAAGTTTCAGTCAAACAGGGTATGAGACATTTCACTTAAAACTCACTTAAAACTCCTTCACTGTTCAGAAGTAGTCAMGTATGTTGCATCATTTCATACTGCAGTCAAAACTTCCATCGTTTTTTTTTTGTGACATGCTGCCCGTATTGCTCAGATATGGAAAGGGCTTGTATTTTCTTTTAAATAWGCTTAGGCTCACCATCAACATTTCAAATTCAAGGTACAAATTGAGATCAAGCTTTTAAACACAATTTGATATATCTAGATGTGCAATGGACTTCAGAGGGGAAAATAAGAATTAGCCATGACCTGCTCTGAGTACAAGAATGTTCACATCCACAGGATTTTGGACCTCACTAACACACTTTATTTTACAACTCGGGTGCTATTTAGCTCTGATGGTGGAAATGAGGGAATTAATAAGGCTGTGCTGCTAGACACACGATGAGAACACCCCTCTGCACAACAGCTCAGGCCCCACAGCTGTCCCCACCCCACTCCTGCAATGCCCTGGAGTTCCTGCAGTCACCAGCAGATCTGGGCAAACTGTCCTCAAAAACCTCCCTGTTCACCCACTGCTGCATCACATCTCTGAGAAGCTCCTGGCATTATATCACACTCTTCACTACACTGTGGACACCACATCATTTCCTAGATTATTTCAACCCAAAGTGAGACARTTCCAGCAGTATCAGGCAACTCTATCCCTGTGGATTGTCTAGAGCAGCATTAAATAAGTTCCACCAAATCAGGTGACAGTAAAATCAGTCATGGCTTTGATGTTTTAACAGGATTTTTATCACATACCAGAAAGGTTTTTCTGAAGAAATTAATAATTTGATGGGGTAAAAAAGTGCTATGATTTTTTTTTTTTGTTTTTTTCCCAAAAGGGAAGAATGAAAAACTGAAAACAGAAAGTCTTGATAAGAGATGCTCTTTTGTAGACTGAAACCACCGAAAAAATGCCTCCTTAGTCCATCTTCCTTTTTGTCTTCTAAAATAAATAATTTTGTCCCTTTTAAAATACAAAAATTGAGAAAAAAGTGCTTTTCAAAATTTTCCATTTGACATCCTTGCAAATGTTCCACTAACAATACCTACAGCCTTGTTCCAATCACATCTCARTCATAGTAGTTTAGAAACATATTTTAGTATTTTCAGAGGTCATAGGAAGTCTGACGCTAGCAGAACTTTTAGAAGTAGTCTAATGTCCTTAATTTCATTGTACAAGCTAGTATTAAGCATTCAGCAATGAACAAGAAAACAACTGATGAATTGCAAGTCATTTAAAAGAAAAAAAAAAAAAAGGGAAGAAGCTATCAAGCCATAATATTCTCCTGAGCTTGACATCTCCATAAACTCCATTGGAGCATTGTTTTTTCTTGTCTTCCCAAGACCCCTGGACCAACACAACTTTAAAATTACTCAGTCCTAATTTCAGCAACTTGAACAAATCTAGGAAAAAAATCTCTGTTGCTTTATATGAATTTTACACTGCAAAGTTAGACTGACATCTTTGGAAGTTAAATGTCACCTTGTCTTTCAAGTTCTCAGATCACAGAGCAAGGAGTCATGATGTCCCTGCCACGTCCCCTTCATAAACCAACTGCATGAGCCTCTGAGCAATTCTGATGTCAGGGGCAGTGCTCAAACAGGAAAATTACCCCAGTTCAGTGACRGAGATTCCACCACAGCCCTTAAAAGTTTTTAAATATTTATTATGCTCACTTTTAAACAGATGTATCTTATTTGTCCTCTGCATGTACTTATTTCCAAAACACCAAACTTCTGATATCTATTTGCTGGGCTGATGACAAGCTTTATTTCCCCTGTAAGTATTTATCAGCCATGACATTATCTGTTAACCTTCCTTGATAAGTTACATATATTAAGGCCTTACATGTTCACTACAAGACACATCTGCCAGCCCTACAATTATTCTCCTGAGTGATAGCATGTTTTCCATACAGCTAGTACATTGTTTATAGGAAGAAGCCAATTAAACAAACTATAGCCCCATAGCAGCTCCATCAGGCTGACATTCTTCTGTGCAGCTCTGGCATACAGAAAACAGAGACATTCACACGGCGCAGTCAGCCAGAGGCAAACAACRTCTGACGACAGTCACTGGGGCCAGTGACAGTGACAGACCAGTCTGTGAACTCTCCCATCTTCCTATTAGCACSGGTGCAGCTGCCACACAAAAGCAGTGACAGACAGATGAGGGAATTGGTGAGAAAATAGCACAATGTTATTCAAAACACATGTAGCTAATGTGATACAATGCATGGTGAATTGCATTTTTATTTTTTCAGTGCCATGAGTGTCARCAACAGCTTGATGATAAGGAGTCAATTTCCCAACAGCTGAAAGATAGTAAAAAGAAACACCTAGTTTTTATATCCTTATTCTCAAGCTAATCTCACGTGCTTCAGCTATTAAAGGAATCCAGGAAYATAGCTCCTCCCTCAACTCCCTCAGCTAAAACAATCCAATGCACAATATGAGCTATTTCARAAGTCCTTATTCCACTTTTTGCAAAACAGATGTTCTAAATTTCCAAACATATCTTCACAGAACCACAGAACAAGCTGAGCTGGAAGGGACTCACAAGAATCATTAAGTCCAACTCCTGGCCCTGCACAGGACCTCCCAAYSAGTCACACCCTGTCCCTGACAGCATTSTTCAAACTTCTTGAACTCTGCCAGGCTGGTGCTTTGAGGCCCTAAGGAGCCTGTTCCAGTGCCCAGCCACCCTCTGGGTGAGAACCTTTTCCTAACATACAACCTCAACCAGCCCTGGCAGTTTCAGGCCATTCCCTAGGTCCTGTCACTGGTCACCAGAGAGAWSAGWKCMKKSCCYKCCYCYYCYCCTCMC